AATATTTCTTTTTTAAGGTTAAGGGCATTAAAGACTCGTTTTATTTGACCGTATTGCTGTTTAAAAATTTTTGGTTGTTATATATACATAAAAGCTCGAAATTTCAGACAGAAAATAATTTGCTCATTAACTATTGTACTCAAATTAAAATGGCAACTACATAATATGTATATTTGCGAAGGTTTTTTTTTGGTGTGTGTGTATGTGTGAATTGTATTAGCAATTAATATACGATCATCGTAAAGTATTTACGTAGTTGCCATTTTAATTTTACTAGAATAGTTAATGAAAATCTACGTGACAATTGTTCAGCATAATGACGCGCGGGATATCCAAAAATTATTTAAGTTTGAAAGACGTTCGTCTTAAAGCATGTTTTGTCCACTATACCGAATTCTGTTTTACGAAATGTCATTAGGAAATATTCTTTACAGTTCTATACAACAAAGCTGTCATATTCTTGTAGACTTGGGAGATTTTCTTAATTACCATTTTTGCTCCATTTGCCACATGATTCATGATTAAATAATATTAATAGAAAACCTAAAATATCAAGCATAACATAAATGTGACACGAAAAATATAATTTATAAAACAGCGTTAAATATCTTAGTCTGTCTCGTTACCTTTGAGTCGGTTAAATATATGAAATCTTTAAAATTTTTACGAATAGTTGAAAAAACAGTAAAGTTTTTTTTATTTAAATCTGCTATATCTGATTCTACACAAAGAAAAAGATTATACAGATAGTGACATTGCACAAGATTGAAATATTTTTTTATATGATAGAAAGGGAAGATATTGACAGTCGATCGTCGTCTTTTTATGGGAAACTAGCGACCCGCCCCGGCTTCGCACGGGTGCAATGTATTATTTACATAAACCTTGCGCATCAAGAACCGTTGAGTAGTTTTTAAAATCTAAGAACACAGGAAAATTACTACGCAATCCGCACCTTATAGACATAAATAAAGAAATTCTTAAGTAAACAGACAGAAAAAATATCGACAAAACTTGACGGGTAGGTTCATTTTCGTTACGAAACAAATTAAAATGTGCGAATTCACGTTGCACGAGGAAAGTTTAACCAGCTTTTATACTTGAATATAACAGCTGTCATAGGGTTTACGAAATTGCTCCCCTAATATTTAGTTAAACTGGATAAATTTGAAGCCGTAACATGTTCCGGTTATAGAACACGTTTCATCGACTAAGGCCTTGCTTATAAGTAATTTTAATAGCCTTGCTAAAAATTACTACGCAATCGGCACTTTACAGGCATCAGTAAAGAAACTCTTGAGTAAACTGAAACAAAAAAAAATTTTCGACAAAACATGACGAGTAGGTTGTTGGTAAAATGAAAGAAACCCCGTTCATTCCGCCGTTTTCGTTTCGAAATAAATTGAAATTTACGAATTCACGTTGCAAGAGCTATAGGGACGCACGTCATCGACTTGAGCCTTGCTTTTCCTGCTTATAACCACGAGTCTTGGTAAAAAAAATCTGATAACAGAAATTACAACGTATGTATTTTGTCACGAATATAGTATTCCAAAATATATTTGACACTAAACACTTGGCACTTCCGTCACAGCTCTTGTATTTATTTCCAATATTTGATATTTTTGCTTATATTTCAAATTTTGACCGATAGATAATGTATTGTCAGTACGTACTTGCTATCTTATTTCGCTATTAAAACTACGTCAACGTTTGAGAAAAGGCTGCGAATGAAAGTTTCTGCAAATATCAAGTATCCTGCATGCTTTAAGAGCCTGAACAGTTTCGTTTTATGCGGAGTTGCGTAACCCAATTTGTAATCATGCAACAAAAACGGCTTTCAAGTAACGAAGCCCTTATGTAATAACAAAAGTCTCACGTATTGGGCAGAGGGCCTTTGGCAAAGACAGACTTATTTGCTGTAGGTATAATTAATAGTAAACGAAGTACCGCAGGAAACGTGAGTTATTTTGCTGATATACGTAATTAATCCGTATATTTCCAGTACTAACGAAATAAATTAAAACTTTTTAATAAACGACTTCACGTAATAAATCAAACAAAAACATATTGCGGAATGGTGGAGAGAGACAGAATATTTATAAATGTGTAAAAAAATAAATAAATTGAGTTCAAATAAACATGCATTGTAGAGATGGGTCGTATCGCTTTTTCTGAGAACCGTATCTGAATCAGATTTCGATTTCAAATATCAGATTTCGAAACTATGTATTTTAATATCTAGATATTTTACTTTCGCGTATCCACCTTAAATTCATTAAAAAAAAATAGTGACAATATTTTTGTGTAAGAAATATTACATTCAAAATAATATAGGGCTGAAGAATTTAAAATGTTCACACAAGACACATAAGCCTTGGCCTGACGTTCACCAATGCAGCACGGAATTATTAAATTATATTTTTCTTTTTCGATTTTTGTATTTTTATTTTTTTCAAAAATGTAAAATTTAACTCCTAAAAATTTTTCTTCCTTAATTTAGGAAGAAAATTGCTAAGTTGGCATCCCTTACTACTACGTGCTTAAGTATCAATGCACTCCAGGTCAAGGCTAAACAAAATTTAAAGACATCGTTAATACCATGATTAGTATTTAAATGAAACAGAGTTTTTTCCATGCTTTTAAAATTCTAAATTGCTTAACTTATTCATAAAATCTGTTTAAAATCTGATATTGTGCATTGTTTGCCGTACTCCTCTAACTAGTCTAACATTTGTATCTCACGCGCTTTGTCGCTCGCTACGGCTCAAGGCTAATGCTAAATCTTATCCTTTAAACGAGCAATTCTTGTATATATATATATATATATATATATATATATATAATCGGAATCTCGGAAACGGGTCCAGCGATTTTCATGAAATTTAGTATGTGCGTAGATTCGGGGGCGAAAAATCGATCTAGCTAGGTTTCATTTTTAGAAAATGTCCTTTTATCCCTTTTTTCAGGGAATTAAAATTATAATTCGAATATGACGGTAAATTTCGCCGCAAGAGAAAATGTCATGATAGCTCGGTCGGTAATCGGGCGGCCCTTTACTTTTTTTTCGATTCCAGATCATTGCTTTCTTTATTTTTAATTTTTTGTCGATTTGTTATTTTATTATTTTTTTCCCTTTTTTAAAGTTCTTTCTTTTGTAAAAAACATCAGTTCATATTTTCTTATTATTACGTCGGTAAGATCGAAAAATATTATGCATATTTCATTACTCAGTAATTTGTATCTAAATGTAATTTCCAAAATACAAGATTTACCAAAAAAAAAAAAAAAACAAACCGAGCAAAGCTCGGTCCTCCGGGTACTACAAGAATTAAAAGATTACGTAATCGTTGATACCATGCTTAGTATTTAAATGAAACAGAATATCCGATTTGCATGCTGTTAAGATTCAAAATTACTTAACGTATTCATAAAATCTGTTTAAAAATCTGATATTGTTGCCGTACTGCTCTAACTAATGTAATATTTGTATCTCACGCGCTTTGTCGCTCGAAATCTGTTTAAAAATCTGATATTGTTGCCGTACTGCTCTAACTAGTGAATATTTGTATCTCACGCGCTTTGTCTAAAAATCTGATATTGTGACAAACGCGTATGATATCGCGATTCGTGTTGGTATAGCGAGTGAGCGAGTATTCGGTACATCAGATTTCGGAAATATCAGATATTGTAAAATACATAGATTTTGAACGAGCCAGTGAGCGATTTTCAGATATTGTACCAATATATAGTTTTCATATCTGATACGATTTGTATCGCCCACTTCTAATGCATTGTTTATTTTTGATTTGTTAACGTTATTAACGATGTAACATACACAGATAAGACTTTTAAGTAAGAAAAACTATTACAGTAAAATTGATGTGTAGACTTATAAATTTTTGCTTAGTGACCTTAATTACTCTTAGGGCATTATAAACATGAAGACAAAAATTAATATTTAAAACATACATAGGCGTCAACAGAGGCGGCAAGTCCTGCGTTCAACTCAGAATCGGTGAAGTTATATTGTTTATTTCAATTCCTTTCTAATTGTCTTCAAAATTAAATATTGTTAAAAACGATATAGATGTCCCCGTAAATATACCCTAGTGTAGTTTGTTCCTACATTGCCTACAATCTGTAGCAGCATGATGCAATACCTTATTGGATATTGCACTCATAATAAACTCTACTCTTCACAGTCCACGTCTAGACTCATAATATATAAATAAACTTAAAATATATATAAAGTCATCCATTTAAATACAGTAAAAAATCAAAATCTTATACGATTTCGTAACATATCAATCCGGCCTACGTTCCTTCACCGTTTTCTTCACATGCTTTGTTAGCCATTTTTATAAATTAAAATTATGTTTCTTATAAAATAAGGTATTAGGTAAGAAGTATTAGTAAATAGAATCTGGAGAAGTCTAAAAAAAACTGTGACATGTTAGATAAATTGGCACGTATATTATAGCGAGATATGTGCCCCGTTTAGTTACGGTTACGATAAAAAATTAAATGAATATATCACGAATTTAAAAACAGCGTCCATCACCAGTTTTTAACTAATGTACAAATAAATATCCCAACAATAATACGAAATAATATTAAGATTTTTAAAGTAATATTAGCGCTTAATTTTTTTATGAAAAATATGATTCTTTTTTAAATGTACTGCGGTAATACAACAAGAAACCACAAGAATAAAAAAAGTAATTTATTACATCTTCCTAATCAGACGGTTGGAATTTATTTATTTTGTAATATATCTGTTACAAATGAAAATAAATTCCAACCATCCGCACTTCAAGAAATAAATCCCATCAAGCAATCATCCTTAATAAAATACCTAAAGTAAATTATTTAAAACCCTACATATAGTTATGATAACACAAATACATTTTATTAAAAGCTAGAATACTCTCAGGTTCATCAACACATTGCGAGCCGTCTATAGTGAGCCTTAGTTTCTTTAAAATGCTATGACTCACCCGAATGATACCGACTCTCGTTCCGTGTGAGTCGCCTGTTGGTCCTTCCAGGCGGCGAGCGGAGTGCTGCTGCCGACCTCACTGCGACGCGATAAAGAAACCACACACTTGACCACACGCACGCACACGTACTCAGACGCGACGAGAAGGAACCAATTTCAATTTTGGAATCGAGTGTTTTCGCGCCGAATTCTAAATGACAGGCTCAACCTCTAGAAATTTAAAAATGGAACCTGTGTGTGATAATGTGCGATAAAGTGCTACGGAACACGCCTTCTTCCGTTGCCGCGTAAATATAGATATTAAATGCGAATAACATTTCGATCCCAAACTTGTTAACAAGTTTAATCACCATATTAAAGGTTTGAAAAATAATGAGAAATGTTGTAGTTTTCGTCAATCATCATTAAGATATCGAGATGTGATGATTCATTTAATACTTATGTCTTAATGTGAAATGACGTTTAAACTTGTGTTTTTCCTGCTTTCCTCAATCACTAAATAGTAAATACCGTAAAAAGAACAATACATTTTGTTAATTTACACAAAGTTGTTTGGAGATGGTTAGGTGACACACCCGCAACCACATTTTACCGGCAGGCACTCGTGAAAACGGTCTTTGTTATAAATGTCGAGACAGGAACTTATCCTGTGTAGACGCCCGTCTCATTAGTCACAGAGGCATCGAACGAAACCTAAGCGTAAATCTCGTCTCACTAGTCACACGGGCCGATTACATTGCATCGCATAGGAAGACGCACGGATCATGAAACAATTTTTTGCTCGCGAACCGTCTAGTGCTATAATACCATCTCATTTGGTAAACAGTAATGCAGTGTTAAATGGTTAAAAGCATATTTCAAAATGGTACAGTGACTTACTGACTGAATATTTCTCATTTACTTATAATGTTCAAATATATGTAGTGATTTCATCAATTTACCCCCAAATACTTTTGCTTAACATTGATCGTGTCAGCGGGTAAGAGTTTGTTTACGAATTTACTCTGACGCTTTAATATTTACTTTCATAATAATCTTAAAAAAGTTGCAAAGAAAGTTCTTTGATGTTTTTAAAACGATGAAAAATAAGTATATTTTGGGACATGGGCGAAGCTCTCTAAATAAAAATGTTTCATAAAAAATTATCATTCGTATAGATAACGCTATTGTTGACATTTCTAAACACAACGCACGGCATCTGATAAGCAATAAATGCGTCTGAATACAGATCACTGCTCACGGGTTGCATATCGATTTGCGATTATGAATCATTCATTGGTCAACACTAGCGTTCCGTTGAACTGTCGCATAGTTCAGCGATTTAGCACGAAAAAAAAAATAAAAAATATACGCACTGTTCTCAGGAATTTTAAAAAATTATATAACTATTTTCATAACATTTATCATAATTATATACCCGAACACAATACTTAAATTAAAAAAGTACAGTTACTAACAAGAATTAATGAAAATAAATAATATATTCATTATTGAAATAGTGACACGAAATAAATTCCTCTTCCATACGGATACAGATTATTTACAAATAAAAATGAATATTGACATGGCCAGTGCGATATCGCGTAATGACATTTACTTTCGGAATAAAAAAAAATATAGTTTTTTTTGTCGCCTTTCTTTTTTTACTAAGACCGTTGACATTTCACGCAAAGCTTATTAACAGCGTTTTTGTGAATTGTATTATTTCTTATCGTTCCAACAAGAAATGAGTGATAATATAGGTAAAGCTAATATCGAAGTGGACGTGGTGCGTTTAGATTCGGACATTATTGATGAACATCTTCGATCTTCGACCGCGGTGTTACATGACATATTGAATGGTGAAAATGAACGACGCGCCGAGAACGGTGGACAATCTTGTCCTCATTGCGGAAAGCTATATAAGAACGCAAATACTTTGCAAATGCATTACATGCTTAAACATCCTGAAAACCAAATTGAGGTTCAGTGCGCGTCGTGCAACAAAAAGTATCCGTCTTTGTTGAGCTTGCAGAAACATATACGCTACATGCACCGATACAAGCATCGATGCAAGGCTTGTTATAGGACGTTCGCGTCGCCAGAAATGCTGGAAGGTCACGGTGCGTATTGCAGCAAATCCGAGGCGCCGTGTGATGTATGCGGCAAGATATTTAACTCCAAGCTGGCCCTTCGCAACCACTTCAAGTACAAACACCCCGAACATAAGAATTATTATTGTAATATGTGCAGAAGATCGTTTATGAGCGACCGTGGGCTGGCAAATCACATCGCCTCAATCCACCCCCCTGGCGCCACCGAATGCATCTGGTGCGAACGGGTCTTCAACTCCGTACCGGCGCTCCAAAGTCACATTCTGCACAAGCACACGCGAGATGGCGTCAGGTGCATTCAATGTCCGAAGCTGTTCATGTCGAAACCGAGCCTCGAGCGTCATTTGATCAAGGAGCACGGTCGCGCGGAAGCTAACTACTTTTGTGGGGTTTGCAATGACAACTTTGTAAACTCCTCTGAACTCGTCAGCCATGTCATGCATAAACATTCTGGTAAAGTCGGAGAAAATTAACTATTTGTTACTACTTGTATATAAATAAATCCTTAGTATTTGCAGTGGCTTATAATTATTATCAATAATGTATGTAATGTATTAGCTATTTATTCACAAACATTGGGGACGGTGGAAGCAGTATTAAACGATATGGCAACGGACCTGGTTACAGACGTACAACCTGATTTTTTGTGACCAAAGCGGTGAGACCTCTTTTTTAAATTTCTAAATTAAATAGAAGGACATTTAAGTTCTTAATATAGTATGAAAGTAAATTTAAAAATTCGTTTTCTATTCAGGAGACTGAAATTGGTCAGCGATAAAAAATGGCGCCCTTGTCTACTCTATCATTAAATTATATATAAATGTATTCTACATTGCGAAACTATATCACAAAGTAATGATACATTTTTATTTATCTATATGTATAAAACGAGTGACTGGTAAAATGTCACTTGAAATGTAAACATCTCTTTGCTGTGCATCAGTATACAGTATAAAAACAAAGTCGTCCTGCTGTCTGTCCGTCCCTATGTATGCTTAGATTTTTAAATCTACACAACGGATCTTGATGTGGTTTTTTTGTTAGATTTCTTTATGTGAAAGTTGCCAAGCGAGCAAGTGGTTCACCTGATGTTGAGTGAATACCACCGCCCATGGACATCTGCTACACCCGAGGGTTACAGATGCGTTGACAACCTTTTGAAAATTGGGCCTCACCCACCAGACGAAAGCGAAAGTATTATACTTCCACTTCACGCCGGTCTTCTGTCGGTCTGGTCGTGGTACTTACCCGGACAAGACTGACCGTTCATGCAACAGCCGAGGGTGCTGCGTGGCACTACCACCGTAAAAATAGAGTGATTCAAATGTATAATACATTGCACCCGTGCGAAGCCGGGGGTGACTCGCTAGTTACAATATAGATGTTTATGCTAGTCTTCCCTTATTTATCTTCATACATATGCAGAAATATTTAAAAAAGTCATAGCATTATTATGATATACAAGGAAAATAATTTTTATTCAGAAGAGCAAATACAAAATTCCATACTATCTTAGTTACCTGACACTATAAAAGTAGGTCAAATCCTTCTTTAGGTGTTATCGGTGCACATCACATCGTTAATTATTAAAATAAACCCTGAAAAATATTAAGGGCATTGATAATTTTTAATTAAATTAGTAAGTAATGATCGGAATTGAAATTGTGTTAGGAATTATATAAACTGTTCGTTTAATAGGTAGGTAGGTAGGTAAAAATTATAATTTTATTTTATAATTTTTAACTACCAGTTATGTTATTTTTAAATGTTTTAGTGCGAATATTTATGTTTTTATTTATTTAAAAAAAAAAAGAAATATATTTCTTATCTACAGAATCGAACGGTACTAAATGATTATTCGTTTGTAAACATAATCGGAAACAATTTATATGCATTTAAGCCTGTTCGAAGATTTGCAACGAGCCGCACTAAGTTCTGATGAAATAACGCATCTAAGTTAGCTTACTGCGTTAGTGTTTCGGGTTTAAATGAAAACAGACAGAGCCGGCGAGAAGAAGTTCACGTGTACCGGAATTTGCGTACATTTGAAGCGTTTAATTACAAATCGCATCAACGTCCGCAGACGAATTCCTAGAGGCGATGCCGCGACCGGTGTTTAATGGGGCGCCTTCGCCCGAAGCGGTGGAGTTAACAGACCGAGCGGCGGCCGCCCGACAAGTTGCCGACGACTCTCTATCGCATCACCCGCTAGAATGATCGCGCCATTCAATTTGGCTCGCATCCCGTCGCCATCGCTTGCATTAATACGCTTACGCCCGAAACCCCAGCGCCTAGGCTGCCCCGACGTGTTCCCGGTACAATTTCACGCTACACGATCAGCGTACGGCGCGGTTCGCGAAGATTTAAATCGATTTAAATCTTTGGCGGGTTTCACGTAGTTACGTTTCAGATATTGGATTCAATGTTGTGTAAAAACATTGGAAATCCCCTCAGCTTCAGCACCTTAATGGCAGCCCATTTTTTTTAAATTAAAGCATCAGTATACAAAAAACAAGATTTCTTCGTACCGACCAAGTATTAAAAGCAGCAGGTTTGGCAGTCTTCCACTTTCTAAAATATTCCTCGAATCCAGATTCTATCGTATCAAACAAATTTCCGACCGAAATTTCAATATATAAAATAAAAAAAACAAATTAAAAAGACAGTGTAAACGAAACAAATGCAAAGTGCATTTCTGAAAGTACGTGAAATATAGCGGTTGTAAATAAATATTAATCAGCTCCCGTTGTTGTAATTCGTGGAAAATAAAAAGCGATTGGCCTCCTTCATGGCAGAATATTCTGTAAATAGAATAATGAATCATGTACGGCGTGCTTATTCATTTAGAATAAATCAGTTAAAACTGGCACTATGTAATTGAGCGGTGCTTCTATTAAACGTATTAATGTTTCTATTAACATCTTAACGGGAGTTAGGAATGTAATTAAAATAACAAAGATTAAAGATAAGTGAAATCAAACAAAAGTGAGTTTCAAAAACTGACCTTGATCTAAAGAAGAATGCTTTAGATATATAAATAGAATCGGATGTGTAATGGATAATAGAAGACTCACATTTATTCTAGATCTGAAGACTCCTCATCTCCTCAACTCAATTACTCTGAATTTCTCAGGTCGCACTAACTACGTTTCCAATTAGATGTGGATTCTGTGTGGCGGTGACGGTAATTATTATTATGACGGAGACTTAACCTGACCCGAAAATGATAGAAATGATCGTGAATACTGCGAATCAAAGATAAGGTTCGTGATTTGTGTTTTAAGTTATTCATTAAGCATTAAAGTTGGAGGTTTTTAATCTTAAATTTTATAACATTTTACTATTACAGTAAAACCATAATTTTTTTAAAATAATTATCATAAAAATGTATTCTACCAACAATCAAAGATTTGAGGCGCGAAAATAAAGTAAAAGCGCAAGTAAAGGTTTACTTCGAAAAAAGGATCGATGATGCAAGTATTATGTGAAGTCAGACGAAGAAACGCGATAAATTATCATAGCATTTTCCGACCTTTTAGCTTTTTGAAATTAAACAAATTACTTCGTGAAAAAGTTACGGAATGAACTGGAAAAACTTGCATAAATGGCAGCCAATACCTACGTGTCTGTGAATTCTGCCGAACGATTTTAGCAAAATGTTTTGTAAACACAGGTTCATTTAGGACTGTAAGGTTAAAGAATAATTCTTGCCTTATGCACTACCCTTACAGTATAGAAGCTGTTTTGGAAGGGGGACTCACCTAATACTAGTTATTCAAGAATGATTTTTTTATACCCAAACCGGTATATAAAAGTTATTTCTTGACGAATTAGGGGTCCGGATGAACCGACTATTGAATCCGAAATTCATCATAAAATATTTCTTTTAAACGGTCTGTTTTAATTCATAGAAATTAAAGCGATTATGCCAATCAAAGTGACATTTAAATGTTTTATTCGGAAGTTTTCATAGCGTATTTCAGCGCATGTATCGCCATAAAAAGTATTTTTATTCTCGCTAGCTTATCTATATCTTCAGGCACGTTTTAAGTTTAACGCATAAGTATTTGTAGACACAAAAGGTTGGAAACAACGATGAAACACGATTTATTTTATTTGGTGAATATATTTTATTACATAAAGATTATAGTGGTGGCTTCCTGCGACGACGAGTCGCCGCAAATCGTGACGGTGAATAAAGAAATAAACAATCAAGGGAATCGGTCAAGACACCATTTCATTCTTAGGCATTATATTGGATAGTAACAGGGGTAACCATTAATCTTTTAAGAAGTTATTCACGTATGGTAGCCGAAATAAAAGAAATTTAAGTGAGCTTACTGGCAGCTTAGTTCTGACAAGGTATTTTATTACGGAACTTGTTTCGTGCCGAGTTGTGAAAACTGTATCTTGTTAAAGTATCGCTATCGGCTTGTCTTTATTAATCTTCATACCCGACGGAAAAGTTTTTAACAGCTTGCAACTAGCGCCGAGTAATGTAACAATAGGAGTTATTTTAAAAGCGTCCCATTCGATGTGCTGTTCCGCGAGCTGACGAGCAGAATCCAATTACCGGTAGTCTGTCGATGCAGTGGAAGTTTAGGCGAGACCAACTCGTTACCTGCGAGGCGCGACGGTGGATGGGTGTTATCGCGTTACAACCCCGCACCAAGGGAGGGGGCAGACAGGGCAAAAAACCGACGGCAGTTGGTAAAAAGAATCACTAACTATACAATGAATCATCAGTAGGTGAAGTGTACTTTGCCTTTCGTGCTTTTTAAAACAAAACTATCTACTTTAGTTGAACAATGTAAAATGATATTACATTGTTTGCCATTTGCCAACAGCTGTTATACCAATTGGGTTTTTATCCTGTTTGTATAATCTATGTTGATCGTTTAGGATTTTAACCCTAAACTATGCTTACTTAAATTCACTACAAACTACGTTTCAGATATTAGAGGATATATATAGAAGCAATAGAGAGTATATGAAAAAAAAAAAACAGACAAAGGACATTTCGAATTTTTAAGTACACCTACGTATTGATCTGGCTGAAACTGCGCTATTAATAGAAAATGCGGCTAGCGCTCGGATTGCGTAGTTTAAAGGCAATTGACTTTCTAATAAATCCTGCACGTGTTATAGAGAAGATAATAGGCAAATTTGTGTTATAACATTGCCATACAAAGTCAATGTTGGCTAAATTATAATCTCACAGTCATTTCAGTGAAAGTCAATAAGGTCTCACTAACTTAATATTACTATTTTGTGATAGACCCAAACACTAAATTATTTTAGTACACGTCATCTACCATCAGGGCTTCCACTACGCTAAGTACCCCACCTCACCCTAAAAGCTTTGGTAATGGATTTATGCCGCAACGACGGCAATTTGCTGGCGGGATCGGGATACTTCTAATTACAAATATTGACTACGTTTCCATATAGACAAATTTAATCGTATATGTTTATACTAGAATTTTTTCCAAAACGAAACAATATTTTTACTAAATAATGTAATTCTACATAGGCCCCATGCATTCAATCGCATATACTAAGCTTTGATAGTTTTGGCCCTACATTTGTGGCGTTTTTGCTTAGTGTAAAAATTAAACTCACTTGCAGCAAACAACGACCCAACAACACTCAAATTAAATACCATGTTAAAGTCAACAGCGACGCTGACATAAAGTAAGTCATTAATTGAAACCGTAACACCCTTTGACTGTCGAAGCACACACAACCAGAATGTACTTGTAATTTATGAAGGAAATATTTCCGCCTAATTCCGTTACTCGAAAAGGGTAGAGTGTTGTATAAAAATGGGGGAAAGATAAAATACATCTCGAATTAATGAGGTCTGATGCTAAAGAGCAAGAAAACGAAAGTGTCATTGACAATTTCTTCGGTGAGCAATTTAGAGCATCTTTACATCGCGCCTTCTTATTGCGCTAAATTGCAATTTATATTTAAAAGTTGGTATACTGTCGGACATAAAAATTTGAAACAGTAGAAAAATATGACGACGCTTTTCTTTAGAGCGACAAATTCTTCACATTCTACATATTGGTAACATATTAAACAACTAGCTGCTGCCCGCGACTACGTCTGCGTAGGCTGAAGGCGTAACATTCGGACAGGAAGACAGATATACATAAAATACGTATATAAATTATAGCCTATGTCTTATTTGGACGTATAAGCTTGATGTATTGTAAAGTTTCATTAAAATCCATTCAGTAGTATTTACGTGAAAGAGTAACGAACATCCATCCATACATATAAACTTTCGCCTTTATAATATTAGTAAGGATTTACATATAATTATAGAAAATTCCAAAATCATGTGTGCAAACGAAATAAAGCCTCGCTTTCCACGTTTATTTAAAAATAATTAAAAGAGCTCTGAATTATTACAGCCATTTGTGAGATATTTGATTGTAATAATTACTTAAGATCAGAACCTTTGTAATATGAATTACATAAATTAAAAAAAAAATTGTTTACTAAGATTATTAATACGACACAATCACTTATAATTATGTCTCATATTGCATTCAGTTAAACGAAATTAAATAAAACAGTTAAATTGTGTGGAATTACTTTGAATACAAAAAGTCATTAGGAGATAAATTCGCGAAGGTGATTTTACGACTGACCGAAAGCCAATATCCCGGTAAATCCGAACTAGTTATGCAACAGCCGTGAATTCGGTACGACATTCCAAAATTGCAACTAAGCAATCTAGGATTGAACCGTATCTTAGACCTATCTTATTTACTTACAAAATACATATCGGCGATTATTATGAACACTTTAATGTTACTACAATAACAGTACCAAGTTGAGAATAATATTGGTGGAAATATAAAACGTCTTTGATATGTCAAAGCATAGAGTCGAAAAGAAAATAAAACAGAAAGTTACGGAAGCCATCGAAAGGAATGAAAGGAAAGTTGGTTATGTTCAAGAACAAAGAGGAAGTGTAAGTGACAGATGAATTACAGATGTAAGAACATCTCTTTTAAACAAAAAGTTTTGAGAATACTAATTGGTCGTACAAATTAGAATTTTAGAATAATAACTTATGTCGACTACGAATGAATAGCTTTCACTGAAAATTTTAACTGTAAAATTTAACTGCACACTAAAAGCTGGCAGCGAAAATTTAGCGTAATATTAAAATTTTCGGAAGCACTCTGAAATCCTCT